CCCCAGGTCCAGCTTAGTCTGTGGCATGACGACGTTGGACGTCAATATCTTGCCGTCCATGGCGGGGAGTCTGTCAAACAAGCTCTGCTCCATCTGGGCGGCGACGTAGAGTGGGAACACAAGGAGAGTGGCCAGGAATACCAACATAATGTGTTCTCTCCCTCGTTCACAAATGTCTGGAACAATGTTATACATGAAGCTACAATATTGATGACAAAACAGCAACACAGGTGTACATTTTCCAGGTAACGCTTGACGGGATGTTACGTGTTTGACCTGGCGACAAAGTTACACCAGGGACACAGGGGACAGGGCTACACGGCAAGGAGTACAACGTTATATCATGTGCCCTGATAGGGACAGGGCGACACGGCAGGCGTACAACGTTATATCATGTGCCCTGATAGGGACAGGGCGACACGGCAAGGCGTACAACGTTATATCATGTGGCCTGATAGGGACAGAGTGACACGGCAAGGCGTACAACGTTATATCATGTAGCCTGATAGGGACAGGGCGACATGGCAAGGCGTACAACGTTATATCATGTGGCCTGATAGGTACAGGGCGACACGGCAAGGCTCACAACGTTATATCGTGTGCCCTGATAGGGACAGGACGACACGGCAAGGAGAACAACGTTATATCGTGTGCCCTGATAGGGACAGGACGACACGGCAAGGAGTACAACGTTATATCGTGTGCCCTGATAGGAACACGGCTACAGGGCAAGGAGTACAACGTTATATCGTGTGCCCTGATAGGAACAGGGCGACACGCCAAGGAGTACAACGTTATATCGTGTGCCCTGATAGGAACAGGGCTACAGGGCAAGGAGTACAACGTTATATCGTGTGCCCTGATAGGAACAGGGCTACAGGGCAAGAAGTACAATGTTATATCGTGTGCCCTGATAGGAACAGGGCTACAGGGCAAGAAGTACAACGTTACATCGTGTGCCCTGATAGGAACAGGGCTACAGGGCAAGGAGTACAACGTTATATCATGTGCCCTGATAGGGACAGAGTGACACGGCAAGGCGTACAACGTTATATCATGCGCCCTGATAGGGATAGGGCGTCACGGCAAGACACGCAACGCCGTCAGTATTTACACACATTCCCATAAATGAAAACCTGGACCACCCCGCTCCAACCCCTTTTCCTTTATCTGCCACTGCAGTTTGACTCAAGTCCACAACTAAGGCAATATTTCATTTGACTGGTACAGCAATGTAAAACACGTGGTTATCAAACTAAAACAATTTACATAATTGGCTTACATTTTAACTGCAACTACACGCTACCCAAGTGCGTCAGTCTTCCTCTGATGTCTGTGCCCAAATGTTCCTCGGAGGTACACAGTTGCCTTGGCTGTGTATCAGTAGTGGCATGGGAACGTCTCTCAACAGATACAAATAGGCAAAGAGATATGTTAGTAAATGATTAATGGCAATCCAATACATCCATGATTAGGTCGCTGTCCTTTTCGTTTGAAAACAGTTGGGTTAGGAGGGAATAGTGTTCAGGTTACTATAGGTACGAACGGACGCCCTTAGATTACCACAAACAACGTAGGACCAAAATCGCTAAGCAAACAAACAGTAACCCGTGACATGTTATCAAGGATATGCAACATTTTACGGCCATACATGCAGAAATATGTGATGCAGATTGTTCTTGTTATGTTTGTTGTTAAACGCCGCACTCAGCAATATTACAATTATATGACGGTGGCCTTTAAATAATCGAGTCTGGACCAGATCATCCCGTAATTGCCGTCATTAGCAGTGATCTACGCAACTGGGCTACGATGACATGCATCAACCTAGTCAGCCAGCCTGACCACCCGATCCGTTTTGTCGCCTCTTACTACAGGCATAGTTACCTTTTACAGCCAGCATGAGTTGCTGAAGACCTGTTCTATCCCGGATCTTCACGGGTGGCCAGTATGTGTGAGCTGGCTCACTGTGTGTCACATTACCCCATTGGAGTACAAACCCTAATCCATCACACAAACGTCATGTCATAGTGGTGTTGACACCGTGCGCGAACACGAGAGGGACTCATACAACACTCTTTATAACGGTAGTGATAACAGCTCGTTTGATGAAGACCACAATAAGAACGTGTGTGAACGTGTAGGTAACGGTACAGAGCACGTGCAGATGGATACGCTTGAGCTCAACATGCCCAACTCGTACTAGGAGGACGAACGAGCGGTTTTACACACCAGTTGAAGTTTTACAGAAGTCTCACTGCATAAAATTATTGCATAAATAAGTCAGTTACTGTTTTGATTATTCTGTATCACCCACACAGTGGAGCCAAGGACCTATTAGCCCTATACCTACACAGTGGAGCCAAGGACCTATTAGCCCTATACCTACACAGTGGAGCCAAGGACCTGTTAGCCCTATACCTACACAGTGGAGCCAAGGACCTGTTAGCCCTATACCTACACAGTGGAGCCAAGGACCTGTTAGCCCTATACCTACACAGTGGAGTCAAGGACCTGTTAGCCCTATACCTACATAGTGGAGCCAATGACATATCAGCCCTATACCTGCACAGTGGAGTCAAGGACCTATCAGCCCTATACCTACACAGTGGAGCCAAGGACCTGTTAGCCCTATACCTACACAGTGGAGCCAAGGACCTGTTAGCCCTATACCTACACAGTGGAGCCAAGGACATATCAGCCCTATACCTGCACAGTGGAGTCAAGTACCTATTAACCCTATACCTACACAGTGGAGCCAAAGACCTATTAGCCCTATACCTGCACAGTGGAGTCAAGGACCTATCAGCCCTATACCTACACAGTGGAGCCAAGGACATATCAGCCCTATACCTGCACAGTGGAGCCAAGGACCTGTTAGCCCTATACCTACACAGTGGAGCCAAGGACCTATCAGCCGTATACCTACACAGTGGAGCCAAGGACATATCAGCCCTATACCTGCACAGTACAGTCAAGGACCTATCAGCCGTATACCTACACAGTGGAGCCAAGGACCTGTTAGCCCTATACCTGCACAGTGGAGTGAAGGACCTATCAGCCGTATACCTACACAGTGGAGCCAAAGACCTATTAGCCCTATACCTACACAGTGGAGCCAAGGACCTGTTAGCCCTATACCTACACAGTGGAGCCAAGGACCTATCAGCCCTATACCAACACAGTGGAGCCAAGGACCTGTTAGCCCTATACCTGCACAGTGGAGTCAAGGACCTATCAGCCAAAGTCAAACATTCAATGTTCTTCCGGTTGTTTGTGACAAATAGCCAGTTGACATTCCGAGTGTATCTGATTTCAGAGTTTGTACTTTCTCCTTCCCTGACATTGTATTGACTGCTTTGTCAACAACCCTTCTCTCTCCCCACTACCGACACATGTGCCCCCCCTGTCGTACAACACCCCCTGCCCTGACCCCATCTGCCCCCCCCCCCCCCCCTCCCTCACACACACACACACACACAAACACCCACACTACCCACACATGTGCCCCCGTCGTACAACCTCGTGTGGCGAACTTGCTGTCAACTGTCAACTGTCCACATTAAGTCATGCAATCTTTAATGATCATATTTTATTTATTGTCAGCAGCCTATATTGAGACATCTTATCTGTAATGAGCACATGCTATATTATTGTCAACTGCCTATATTGAGACATCTTATCTGTAATGAGCACATGCTATATTATTGTCAACTGCCTATATTGAGACATTGTATCTGTAATGAGCACATGCTATATTATTGTCAACTGCCTATATTGAGACATCTTATCTGTAATGAGCACATGCTATATTATTGTCAACTGCCTATATTGAGACATCTTATCTGTAATGAGCACATGCTATATTATTGTCAACTGCTTATATTGAGACATCTCATCTGTAATGAGCACATGCTATATTATTGTCAACTGTCTACATTAAGACGTGCGATCTATAATGACCCTATGTTCTATTAATGTAAACTGTCTACCGATTTCAACATTTAATTGTAACACAAAGGTGGCAAAGATTTAGCACACCTGGGCGTCCATTTGGTTCAATATCTGGTTAGTTTGTTCTAACATGATATATGACAGTGAAACAGACCATATCCCTTGCTACAGGACGCTGGAGGTTTTTAATCCATTCTTGTTCCCAAACTTCTTCTACTCCAATACTACTCTACTGGCAATACTCCAGCTCTATGACGGCGGTCTGTAAATAATCGATTCTGGACCAGACAATCCAGTGAATATATGAACAGTATGTACATGCTCACTCTGTTATTACCAACATAATTCACAGAATACAATATGTTTCTATATAAATTGCCACTGCAAAAGAATAACCAGTCTTCATTATTCACCGAAACATACTCTTACTGGCGTAAAGGGCATCAATCAGTGATGACACCATGTGTTCACGACAACACTAAGCACGTGCTGCCCTACCGGTATCACTCACCAACATTATTTGCATAAATGCCAGACACCGCACAGCAGTACTCCTGGCATGTGATGGCAGCATGTAAACAAACCAGACAATCAAGTGATCGATGAACAAGAAAATCCAGTGACAGGATAGTGCATTTACTGTTTTTGTTGAAACTGATAAACACGATACGTTAATTTTGTATTACTTCGGGGCCCTTTACATGTACAGACGTATCAGGTAAAGAAAGAAAGCAACGGTTTCTGCTACAAAATGCCATTCTGACTTTGATAGAGAGGGGCCATAGCCATCGTCACGCCCTCACATGACTCAACACATGAACTTGTGTCAACATGACGCTGTGTCCTCCTCATGTGACACAGGGAGACACACACACGATGTCCAGCTAAATAATGTCTGTCTTAGATTTCAATACGGAGGAAACAATAATAGTGTTTTTATAATGATAATTATCCATGCATGTTATCAAGAATTTAGAGGGCCTTCCTGCGGACACCATATGTTCTTTCCTTCAAACACAATGTACAAGTAAATAACAGAAAACATATACATGGATACATTTATTCTGTATGTATGATTCCATTGCAAGATTGTAAGAGTAAAAAAAATTAAAGTATATGTAAGCTTGTAACTATGTAACTTGTTTGTACTGTACATAGGATCAAGATTCTCCATACCCGTGCCATCAAACTATGACTGCATTGGTCTCCTGACACGTTAGACCACACCCTGATGACTGTCAACTACTGTGCCGTACACATTGAGGACATAGTTTCAATCAGGTAAAATCTGGCGTTTATCGAGGTCCATATCAGCACAACGTTTCCTCGACATCCACAGAGATTCGGATCATTGCCACAAGCCGAAGGACAATGGAAGTCCATCTGCTTGTAGGGTATGTTTTACAAGATCGACACCGATACAACGAACCGTTTCTCAATAGTTGTTTGAAGTAGCGCAAACTATGTGAGATAATAGTCATGACTCTGAGAAAGACAGGTATTTGCTAAAACGGAAAGAGGTACACTCGTTAATGTTGATAAATCTGTTGACTTTGAGTAGAACACTTTAGAATGAAAAGTTATTGTGAATCCTCCCTTGGTGACAGATATGTCACAACTGTTGTCGGGTCATCAACAAACACATCCCGTATTGGTCGAATGTATGATGAGTGGTCTTCAGCAGAAGCCCCGGATGTAGCATCCTTTTCATCTTTGACATCACTTGAAACAGGGAAGTACTCAACAAGAGCAGGTGTGGCTAGTTCGCTCTCTGATCCGTCCCCTACATCACTGGACACTGGGAAGTACTCACCAAGAGCAGGTATGGCTACTTCGCTCTCCTCTTCGTCCCCTAAATCACTGGATACTGGGAAGTACTCACCAAGAGTGGGTGTGGCTAGTTCGCTCTCCTCCTCCGCCCCCTCCTTCTTCTCTTTCTTTTCCTCCTTCTCCTTCTCCTCCTCCACCATGTTGTTTGGGGTGTTTGTGTTTCTCCCGGGGAGCTCTGGGTCCACATCATGATCATGTATTTCATAGTACCTGTGTATCACCTGGTAGTCATGAGTAGGCACCTGTGAAGCATCAGTGACCATCCCAGATTCCAGTTGGTTTCTCCTGGGAAACACCGGGTCCATGTCTTCCTCGTGTAGTTCATAGTATCTGTGTAGACCCTGGTACTCCAGTGTAGGCAGTGACACCTGTCCAGTAGCATTGACCATCACAGCTTCCAGTGGACGACGCCTATATAAACAGTATTATTGTAAATACAAACAAGGCTTTGGGCGATATCAAACATGTATACACTATAGATAGTACCTTTTTATGTTATGTGACACGCCACATGGCAGCGTGCATTCTCGTTTGTGTTTTCTGCTGTATTACGAGAAGAAGATGTATGCATGTACAAAGTTGGATAACCAGTGCATTGAGTGTAAATGGTACAGCTGACCAGCTTCAGAGGCAGAGAGATTAATGATCTCATTTGAGCATTGTGATGCAATTTCATTGTAGATAAGATATCACTTGATCCTACCAAGCGATATCCCCAGTGGAAGCAAGTTTCAGTTTATCTCATTTGCGTTGGTACGATCGCGTTGTTGTTAAGCTTCTGGTATAATTTGCTGTTCAGTGAACGTTCAATGGTTATTGTTGGACGCTATACCCTCAATGTTGAATTGTACCAACTGTTCATCCCATAGCTATCACCTTTTAGTACACATTGAAGAATATAAATACTAACCCTTGTGCGGCAATGCGTTTGCGGTAACGCACACACTGTCTCAGCGCTATACAAAACACAGTTGCTGCAAGGATTCCAATAATGATACCAAGGATTCTGATAATGATACCATTTGTCTTCAGAGCTTTGGAAAACATAACATGAAAGGATAAATGTAATAAATGTGTGTCGATGGACATCAGTAATATCATATACATATCTTGAATGCATGATTATCAAATTCAGTATCAATACACAGTAACAAAATGTGTGTATGTGTATAAAAGTATTTTTGTCTGGCCACATGCATTCGGAAGGGGCAACATGAAACGGGTCAAACCAGAAACAACATGCTGGTTACGTATCAAATCATACATAAGGCATACATTAACACAACAAAACAAAGGAACCTCATCATGGCAACATAACATCGCTTAAAAATGTTACCTGCTTTCATTTTTGATGGATACATGACAATTAGCTTACCTGTGTTACAAGGAGCAGCTTGACGGCACTCCTCTATGGAGCAGTTGCCTGTACAGGAGGGATCACACCCGCTGATAGTGCACCCCTTGATGCATGTTCCAGTCTTCTGATGACACACCCCATCACGACACACTGCACACGTCTGGTCACACACTTCCCCATACCAGCCCTGGCTGCATCCATTTGTACAGGATCCGGTGTTTGAGTGACAGGTGTGATTGAGGCACATCTCAGAACACGGTGTACAGTTTTTCCCGAAATATCCAATCTTACATCCTTCAACACAGGCACCTGTCACATCGCACCTGTGGTTAAAACAGTTAGCGTCACATCGAGATGAACACGTGGGTCCGTACCATCCATCTTCACAACCACGTGTACACTCGCCACTCTGGTTGTGAGAAGTCGGTGTACAAAAGTTGACTGTATCCTTATCACTGCAATTCAGTGGACATGTGTCAATAATTGACATACAATTATCACTGCACGGTTCAATGCAAAACATTTCGTAAAATATTGATGAACACTCCTCCAAGCATTCACTGTCACAACTTCCTGAACAGTTTGCGCAGGGATGTTCACAGTCCTGACCAACGTATGGAGGGCGACACTCCTCACATGTTCCTGTGATCCTGTTGCAGGATCTACATCTGCTGGAGCAAGGTCGACAGCCAGAACCGTAGTAGGAGTCAACACATCCAGACACACAGGTGGAATTCAGCTTGCAGTATCCTTCCTCACACCCACCAGGACATTCTGTACAATTATCAACGGGAGGATCACATGGTATGATGCAGTTTGTGCCTTGGAAACCAGTAACACAGCCTTCAGAACATCGCTCAATCCCCCCATCTGTGATTTCACACGTATTATGTCGACAACCGTCGCTGCACTTGATACTGCACCGTTTGTCCCAATAGCCAGGGTAACACTTGAGACAATCCCCAGTCTTCTCATCACACTCTGAACAATGCTGAATATCAGTGCAGTTGGCAGCTGAAAGAAAATAACTTCTCCTTTATAGTGTATTCCAGAGCACACAATGGTGTTCAAATACATCTAAACTACAGGTTCATGTGAATGATGTACCCCAAGTCTGGCTGCCCTATATGATACCTGTGTAGATATTCCCACTGACAATACATCTCACAGCATATTCCTGCTCTGCGTGTATCACTATATTAATTGTTTGATCCAAGACTCCTTGTACAAGTGACATATCACATAATGCCACATACAGGGACATTATCTTAAGTGAGGAAGAAATCTGCCAAGACAAGGCATCAGTACTATTAACTATTGGCTTGACGCTAACACCTGAAAACACATCCATTCCGCTTTTGTAGTGGATTCCAAAGCCCCATCAACATCCACATGTACATTGTATATATATATATATGGATCCAGCAAATGTACCACCAAATCCCTGGCTCACAGATTAACCGTATGCCTTCATACAATCAAGGATGGACTTTGTCTTGTACTACATATGTACTATATCTGTTTTTCAGGTGGACATTTGACTTGTCTTTGCCTGTGTTTGTGACGAGTGACACCGGAGGGCCAGGATACGCTCATGTTGAAGAACACATCCGGTTTCATTAAAGCGTTATGGTGATTTCTTGTGATTATGAAAATGGGTTCTTCGCTTATTTTTTGTTTATAATCCAGGCTGAACCTTCTCGACAACGACAGTGAAGGTAAAACCAATACATAGGATGTAAGAATATTCACGTATACACTGTATAGCAACGTAATTCTGATTTACCTTGTGTTCCAGTAACCATACAAGCAAAGGCTAGGTACAGGAAGTGAACCATTTGGTGTCTGAAACATAAAGAAGTATATACATACACAAACTCAACATGATACTGGCGATACGGGATCGTCTGTTGGTCGTGTGTACAGATGTTCTATAACTAAATGAATCCCTTATAGACTATTACAATCAATCAACCATCGCTTTGTCACTTCATTGGAATCTTGATGGCATACATGTACCATTACACATGACATATCGATGAAATACCTTTACACATGACATATGCATGATATACCTTTACACATGACATATGGATCATGTACCTTTACAAATGACATATGCATGATATATCTTTACCCATGACATATGCATGATATACCTTTACACATGCATATGCATGATATACCTTTACACATGACATATGCATGATATACCTTTACCCATGAAATATGCATGATATACCTTTACACATGACAGATGCATGATATACCTTTACCCATGACATATCTATGATATGCCTTTACACATGACATATGCATGATATACCTTTACCCATGAATTATGCATGATATACCTTTACACATGACATATGCACGATATACCTTTACACATGACATATGCATGATATACCTTTACACATGGCTTATGCATGAAATACCTTACCAATAACATATATGCATGAGATACCTTTACACATGACATATCCATGATATACCTTTACCAATGACATATGCATGATAAACCTTAACACATGGCATATGCATGATATACCTTTACCCATGACATATGAATCATGTACCTTTACACATGACATATGCATGATATACCTTTACACATGACAGATCCATGATATACCTTTACCCATTACATATATGCACGATATACCTTTACCCATGACATATCCATGATATACCTTTACCAATGACATATGCATGTTATACCTTTACACATGACATATGCATGATATACCTTTCTACATGACAAATGCATGATATAACTTTACAGATGACATATGCATGATATACCTTTACCCATGACATATGCATGATATACCTTGACACATGACACATGCATGATACGCCTTTATACATGACATATGCTTGGTATACCTTGAAACATGCATATGCATGACATAATTTTACCCATGACATATGCATGATATACCTTTACACATGACATATGCATGATATACCTTTACACATGACATATGCATGATATACCCTTACCCATGACATATGCATGATATACCTTTACCCATGACATATGCATGAAATATATTACCCATAACATAAATGCATGACATACCTTTACACATGAAATATGCATGATATACCTTTACCAATGGCATATGCATGATGTACCTTTACACACATGGCATATGCATGATATACCTTTACCCATGACATATGCATGATATACCTTTACCCATGACATATGCATGATATACCTTTACCAATGGCAAATCCATGATATACCTTGACACATGACATATGCATGATATACCTTTACACAAGACATATGCATGATATGCTTTTACACATGACATATGCTTGGTATACCTTGACACATGCACATGCATGATATACTTTTACCCATGACATATGCATGATATACCTTTACAAATGACATATGCATGATATACCTTTACCCATTATATATGCATGATATACCTTTACACATGACATATGCATGCAATACATTACCCATAACATATATGCATGACATAACTTTACACATGACATATGCATGATATACCCTTACCAATGACATATGCATGATATACCTTTACAGATGACATATGCATCATATACCTTTACCCATGACATATCCATACTATACCTTTACACATGTCATATGCATGATATACCTTTACGCAAGACATATGCATGCTATGCTTTTACACATGACATATGCTTGGTATACCTTGACACATGACATATGCATGATATACCTTTACCCATTATATATGCATGATATACCTTTACACATGACATATGCATGCAATACATTACCCATAACATATATGCATGACATAACTTTACACATGACATATGCATGATATACCTTTACCAATGACATATGCATGATATACCTTTACACATGGCATATGCATGATATACCTTTACTCATGGCATATGCATGATATACCTTTACCCATGACATATGCATGATATACCTTGACACATGACATATGCATGATATACCTTGACACATGACATATGCATGATATACCTTTACACATGACATATGCATGATATACCTTTACCAATGACATATGCATGACATACCTTTACACATGACATATCCATGATATACCTTGACACTTGACATATGCATGATATACCTTTACACATGTCATATGCGTGAAATACCTTTTCACATGACATATGCATGAAATGTCTTTACACATGACAAAAGCATTACATACCTTCACACATGACACACTCATCACAGATCATCACACATGAGATACACATGGCAGACCGGCACACATGACACAGACATGACAGACCTTCACACATGACACAGACATGAAATAACTTTGCACATGACACACATACGACATACCTTTATACAAGACACACACATGACAGACCTTTACAGCACACGTATGACAGACCTTTACACATGATATACGCATGACTTACCCTTGCACATAACACACACATGACAGATCTTTATACATGACACAAGCATGACATACCTTTACACACGACAGGGACCTTTGTACATGACGCATGTATGACACACATTTACACATAACACACACATAACATACCTTTACAAATGACATACATTTTAAAACGTGACATACACATTTCTTACTTTTACACATTATACACGCATGACAGACCTTTACACATGACGTACGTATGACATATGTTTACAACGACATACCTTTACAGATTAATACATGACATACACATGACACAGACATGACAGACCTTCACACATGACACACACATGACATACCTTTACACATGACACACGCATGACATACCTTTACACATGACACACGCATGAAATACCTTTACACATTTTACCTGCATGACATACCTTCACACGTGACACATACATGGCATACCTTTACACATGACACATACATGATATACCTTCACACATGACACACGCATGACACACCTTCACACATGACACACACATGACATACCTTTACACATGACACACGCATGACACACCTTCACACATGACACACACATGGCATACCTTTACACATGACACATACATGACATACCTTCACACATGACACACGCATGACACACCTTCACACATGACACACACATGACATACCTTTACACATGACACACGCATGACACACCTTCACACATGACACACACATGACATACCTTTACACATGACACACGCATGAGATACCTTTACACATTTTACCTGCATGACACACCTCCACACATGACACATACATGACATACCTTCACACATGACACACGCATTACACACCTTCACACATGACACACACATGACATACCTTTACACATGACACACGCATGAGATACCTTTACACATTTTACCTGCATGACATACCTTCACACATGACACATACATGACATACCTTCACACATGATACACGTATGACACACCTTCACACATGACACACACATGACATACCTTTACACATGACACACGCATGAGATTCCTTTACACATGACACACGCATGACATACCTTCACACGTGACACACACATGACATACTTCACATATGATACAAATGTGACATACCTTCACACGTAACACAGACATGACATACCTTTACACATGACATACCTTGGCACTAGTATCAGGAGCGAGAGCTAGCTACAATGAGAGGTACGTGATAAAAACTACCTTCTGACTGAGTTCAGAATCCCGTTAACTGTGCTTCACGTGGACCCCCAGTGTCATCGTATGAGCCATTGTTATTGTATGATAGACGCAGTTCCTGCTCAGTGTGAGTCACAGGTTTCGCTCGCGACTGCCACCTTTCTGTTTCCTGGCTGCACCACAGCCGTAAAAATAAAACATGTAATGCGTGAATATCACGTGTGGAACCAGGAAGCTTTCAGAGAAATGTTGCTGTCCTTGTTACTTCTACTTTGGTTATTTGGAAGTTGATATATTCAACTCAACGTCAACTCATAACTCATAAGCAAATAGTGTTGTGTGGTGGTTTGTGTCGGTTGATGTCTCCCACTGAGTGACTGTTTATTCAATTTAAATCCAGGATTGCATGTTATCATTTTTCTTTATTTGCGATAACTAAAAGGACTGAATTAAACATAGTTAATTAAATAAAGCGACAAAACTCTTAACATTGCTAATAGAAATCTCTGCATAAACCGAATCGATTGTACGATTCTGAGCATATCATGAGCATGTGTTAATGAATCATGGGATGTGCTATGTTTCCTTGTTTGATCAGGTGAATACTTGACTTGCATCTGCATGTGTTTGTGATATGAACCGTTGGTAGGGCAGGATACCCTCAACTTTTCGCGAACACCTGAGCACACATAACTATTTTAAAGTGATTCATTGACGTGATTATGAAGTTGTCGGAATCGTACAATGGATTCTGCTTTTAGCAAAGATTTCATATGATTATGGAAAGGGTTTTGTCACCTCTGTTTATAAGACTACTGTCTATTTGCACTCTTTCTCTCATAATATATTATTCTTTCGCGTTGCCTTTTATGCGTTTGGGAATCTGTTTCGGAGGATAATCGGGAGTGGTTATTTTATGACGATGATTTTAAATATTTCTAGATTATAAGGCAGTGGAAGGGAATTGCTTATCTGACCATTATCGAACGATATCAGATCATAGATATACCGGAGGCTTAAGTTGAAATTCTTGGCCAAATCCCCTCGTTTTTCTTATACGTTTGCACACAGAAATAGATCAGCAAATAATGCAGAAAATGTGTGCCTGTGGAAAAACTTTTAAAATTTTCATTGATTTCAAAACAATTGTATTTGTCATTTCAGGCTGGGTAAGGTACTTTAGGTGTCGTTAGTTGGGCGTCATCAGTAAATCCCTTGTCTTTTGTTCACCTCACGGGGTCTGTCAACTGCAACGTAGGGTGAGCAGGTATATCTTGGTTGATCAATCAAAGTTTAAGCTTAGGTATTTGCCTGATTGGTTAGGTTTAAAATGTTAGTGTCCTCCTTATATGTCTTTGTTTTCACCACTTCATACTGGTATTTCACTCCCGCTTCATCCTGCACTGGAAAGGATACACTACCAGCAATTAAAAGGTTAGTATTCAAAGTTATTATTGTGTTCTATACATGCCAGTATGATATATAAACCACTGAAAATAGATGAATACCTTTACGATATATATCAATGATATGAGGCATTTTTCATGTGCGATAGAGCCAACATGGAGACGGTCATATCACAGGGGGTGTATTAACCAGACCCGTATTAAACCTCCTGCCTGGCTGATATAGCTTAACAATGCATTTTGAATGGACGATCGATATCAGCCAGGGTGGTAAAATAATTCGAGATACGTCCCTTCGTGTGTCGCCTGCTCGTCTGCTCAGCAATCTTTCCCTTGATGATGACTTCCAAACAAGGTGAAATTGTTTTGCATTCACTTGCAGATATATAGAAACATTTTACAATTTGATGTGGTATATGATAAAGAGGTTATGATATGTCAGTTTTCATATCATACCCCATATCAACCCTCGATCCCCATGTCAGCATACCCTCGCGTTCATATAGGGTTGGTCTGGGGTAAGATATAAAAACTGCCTATATTCACCACCAAATATCCCATTAATAGTATTTTGACATGTTATATGAGCTAGTGTTTGTGTGTGGTGAGTATGGACGCCTATCACAGATTGGGTCAGAGACCAGGATATGGGTGCCTATTACAGATTTGGTGCAGAGACCAGGATATGGTTGCCTGTTACAGATTTGGTGTCAAGACCAGGATATGGACGCCTATCACAGATTGGGTCAGAGACCAGTATATGGGTGCCTATTACAGATTTGGTGCAGAGACCAGGATATGGGTGCCTATTACAGATTGGGTCAGAGACCAGGATATGGGTGCCTATTACAGATTTGGTGTCAAGACCAGGATATGGGTGCCTATTACAGATTTGGTGTCAAGACCAGGATATGGGTGCCTATCACAGATTTGGTGACGAGACCAGGATATGGGTGCCTATTACAGATTTGGTGACAAGACCAGGATATGGGTGCCTATTATATATTTGGAGTCAAGACCAGGAAATGGGTGCCTATTACAGATTTGGTGACAAGACCAGGATATGGGTGCCTATTATATATTTGGAGTCAAGACCAGGAAATGGGTGCCTATTACAGATTTGGTGTCAAGGCCAGGATATGGGTGCCTATTACATATTTGGAGTCAAGACCAGGATATGGGTGCCTATTATATATTTGGAGTCAAGACCAGGATATGGACGCCTATTACATATTTGGTGTCAAGACCAGGTTATGGACGCCTATTACATATTTGGTGTCAAGACCAGGATATGGGTGCCTATTATATATTTGGAGTCAAGACCAGGAAATGGGTGCCTATTACAGATTTGGTGTCAAGATCAGGGTATAGGTGCCTATCACAGATTTGGTGTCAAAACCAGGATATGGGTGCCTGTTACGGTTTTGGTGTCGAGACCAGGACTGTTTGTGTGAAGTTGGTAGTGTAGTGCATTTCTGATTGATTGACTAGAAATATTATGTATTGTGAATATATTTTTAGGTATAGATGAACTCGCAATAAATATGTCATGTTATAGCCTGTAGAGTAATGACAAGTAGATGTGAATGTATATTGGTATGTTGATTGATGTATCTGGGTAAGTTCTGGTGTATGAGCGTTGTGTGTTTGATATGAGTTGGTGAGTGAGTGAATAGAGTTGAATGAGTAAGTGAATATAGTTTTGATGAGCGAGTGAATATAGTTTGGTTGAGCGAGTGAGTATAGTTGAGTGAGTGAGTGAATATAGATGGGTGAGTGAGTGAATATAGATTGGTTGAGCGAGAGAGTATAGTTGAGTGAGTGAGTGACTATAGTTTGAAGGAGTTAGTGAATATAGTTTGAGTGAGTGAGTGAATATGGTTTAAATGAGTGAGTGAATAGGGTTTAGATGAGTGTGTGAATACGGTTTAGATGAGTGAGTGAATAGGGTTTAGATGAGTGTGTGAATATAATTGAGTGAGTAAGTGAATATAGTTTGAATGAGAGTGAATATGGTTTGGATGAGTGAGTGAAAATAGTTTTAGTGACAGTGAATATAGTTTTGGTGAGTAAGTAACATGTTGTGGGTGAGTGAGGGATATTTGGTGAGTAAGTTTGGGCGAGTGAGTGAATACATTGTGGGCGAGTGGGTTCAGGTGATTTAAGAAGTGTGTGAATGAGTGTTTCAGAATTTCAGTACATAATTGCAGAACAGTATTTTGTATATCACAGCAAAGCGATTTGACTTAGGAAGAATCCACTGGTTGCTGTAAAGGGACGAACAAGTATACAGCACATTCGAAAAGTGGGCCATACATCATGAGGTGTTTTGCCCTCTACTGGCTAGAACCCTTGTCAGTGTACAGATAGGGGGACTGTTATCAGTGCATATTGCTAGGTTACATAAGTCTTACGTCAGTGTTATCTACTGGGTCGAAGTGTGCATTGCTACAGTGTAGTGCGCAGTACGTTGGTGGGGTGGACAGGTTACACTGACCTTGTTATCCACTGAGTCGAGTAGGTGTGTCGTGCCAAAATGTGTAGTGTGCAGAACGTCGGAGGGTGGACAGGTTACACTGACCTTGTTATCTACTGAGTGGAGTAGGTGTGTCGTGCCACAGTGTAGTGGGCAGAACGTCGGAGGGTGGACAGGTTACACTGACCTTGTTATCCACTGAGTCGAGTAGGTGTGTCGTGCCAAAATGTGTAGTGCGCAGAACGTCGGAGGGTGGACAGGTTACACTGGCCATGTTATCTACTGAGTGGAGTAGGTGTGTCGTGCCACAGTGTAGTGTGCAGAACGTCGGAGGGTGGACAGGTTACACTGACAGTGTTATCTACTGAGTGGAGTAGGTGTGTCGTGCCACAGTGAAGTGCGCAGAACGTCGGAGGGTGGACAGGTTACACTGACAGTGTTATCTACTGAGTGGAGTAGGTGTGTCGTGCCACAGTGAAGTGCGCAGAACGTCGGAGGGTGGACAGGTTACACTGACCATGTTATCTACTGAGTGGAGTAGGTGTGTCGTGCCACAGTGTAGTGCGCAGAACGTCGGAGGGTGGACAGGTTACACTGGCCATGTTATCTACTAAGTGGAGTAGGTGTGTCGTGCCACAGTGTAGTGTGCAGAACGTCGGAGGGTGGACAGGTTACACTGGCCATGTTATCTACTGAGTGGAGTAGGTGGGTCGCGCCACAGTGTAGTGCGCAGAACGTCGGAGGGTGGACAGGTTACACTGACCATGTTATCTACTGAGTGGAGTAGGTTCGTCGTGCTACAGTGTAGTGCGCAGAACGTTGTATGGGTCGACAGATTACACTGGCGGTGCTCTTGATCCTGACATATTGGTGACGTAAAGGAAATTAACAAGTAAGTGTATTTCCGGCTAAAAATTATGTTCCTTTCATTGGTGATGCAAAATGAAAACACATCGTCTTTGTGACTGCATCTAACACAGAATTCGAGTATGTTCATTAAGAAAAAAACACTGCAGGGAGAATAAACAATGAGGTTCGCAGTCCCGAGTGATTAATTCTCCCTGCAGTCTTTTTCGGTACGATAGACAACGGCCACTAGTCGTTTATTTCTTATTTGAGATATAAACATTACGTAGAGCGTCTTTTGAGGATGTTGATAAAATGTGCAAACTTTAAAAATAGTTACCTAAATGTTCATAATGATGACTCCCTGAATAACATCCTGCCTCGGCAATGTCGGACAAGTCTATTTGATGAACAGGTGTGTTAAGTTTGGTATTTCACTCAACAATCCTAATGTCGATTATCTGTACCTGTTTTCCTAACACCGATTGTCATATATCTCCCACTTTTGGATGCGATGGTTCGATCATTGCGTTTATCTTCGTTGACCAGCTACATCTCCGGCGAACAACTCACTAGAGACTTCCCTCTCCAAAATAACCTCGTCCAATATACGACGTCATTACGTTGCGAGCGCATGTTCAAATATCCAGAAATGTCGTCATGATAGAACAATGTGTAACCGTGACATAAACCACGCTTTCTTCTGTGTTCTGTGCGATTTATTGCGCAGTTACCATATATATAGCAATACAAACCTAGAGTCGCCTGTCTGTATAAAAGTATACTTAATGTGATTTTATAATCCCATGATGTCGGACTCATTTGGATGAACAATAAGTACGACATGCACGAACGTATCCCGTGAGTTTTATAGCTGCTGTGATCTACATTATTCAACAAGCATTGAAAATATATATAAAATGCACCACACAACGAATCAAAATCAGCCCGAATCAAAACTTGCGTCGCTATGACAGGGCCATATATGGGATCAATAGATCAGGTTTCAACCTAAACAGAGACCCGGGAAGATCCGGGGTAGAATAGGTCTTCAGCAACCCATGCGTGCCGTAAAAAGGCGACTATGCTTGTCGTAAGAGGCAACTAACGGGATCGGATGGTCAGGCTAGCTGACTTGGTTGATGCAGGTCAGCTTATCCCAATTGCTTGGATCAATGCTCATGATGTCAATCACTGGATAGTCTGGCCCAGACTCTATTATTTACAGACCGCCGTCATATAGCTGGAATATTGCTGAGTGCGGCGTTAAACAACAATCAAACAAAACAAACACTAGCGGACACAAACCATACCAGCTGTAACATGATTGTCACTGAGGTCATGTTGACCCGATGTCTTATCAGTTGTTACAAGTGCACTTCACATAACATTGACCTCACTTTAGTTGCTGGTGATATATAGCCCCATTCTATCTGTTGTAATGTTATGAATAGTTTTTACACATATATTTGTGATAATCTAGTTGTTTCACTGTCCTTCGCTGACATGGTTTTATACAGTTTACATGTATATGATTAAAGTCAAAATTTATCTCGTCACGATATGGCTGAAATATTGCTGATGCGACGTTAAATATTTACTCACTCACTCACTAACACATTGTACTTGCACTATGCACTTAAAATGTACCATGTATTCACACAATGTGATCACACCGTTTACTTACAACATGTACTTACACTGTGTACTTACACTGTGTACTTACACTGTGTACTTACAATGTTTACTTACACTGTGTACTTACACTGTGTACTTACAATGTGTACTTACAATGTTTACTTACAATGTTTACTTACACTGTGTACTTACACTGTGTACTTACACTGTGTACTTACACTGTGTACTTACACTGTGTACTTACAATGTGTACTTACAATGTTTACTTACAATGTTTACTTACACTGTGTACTTACACTGTGTACTTACACTGTGTACTTACACTGTGTACTTACACTGTGTACTTACAATGTTTACTTACACTGTGTACTTACACTGTGTACTTACACTGTGTACTTACACTGTGTACTTACGTTTACTTACACTGTGTAATAACGTTTACTTACACTGTGTACTTACATTTACTTAAACTGAGTACGTACACCATGTATTGACAATGTTTACTTACACTGTGTACTTACACTGTGTACTTACACTGTGTACTTACACTGTGTACTTACAATGTGTACTTACACTGTGTACTTACAATGTGTACTTACACTGTGTACTTACACTGTGTACTTACACTGTGTACTTACAATGTGTACTTACAATGTGTACTTACACTGTGTACTTACACTGTGTACTTACACTGTGCACTTACACTGTGTACTTACACTGTGTACTTACAATGTGTACTTACAATGTTTACTTACACTGTGTACTTACACTGTGTACTTACACTGTGTACTTACACTGTGTACTTACATTTACTTAAACTGAGTACGTACACCATGTATTGACAATGTTTACTTACACTGTGTACTTACACTGTGTACTTACACTGTGTACTTACACTGTGTACTTACAATGTGTACTTACACTGTGTACTTACACTGTGTACTTACACTGTGTACTTACACTGTGTACTTACACTGTGTACTTACACTGTGTACTTACAATGTGTACTTACACTGTGTACTTACAATGTTTACTTACACTGTGTACTTACACTGTGTACTTACACTGTGTACTTACACTGTGTACTTACACTGTGTACTTACAATGTGTACTTACAATGTGTACTTACACTGTGTACTTACAATGTTTACTTACACTGTGTACTTACACTGTGTACTTACACTGTGTACTTACACTGTGTACTTACACTGTGTACTTACAATGTTTACTTACACTGTGTACTTACACTGTGTACTTACACTGTGTACTTACACTGTGTACTTACGTTTACTTACACTGTGTAATAACGTTTACTTACACTGTGTACTTACATTTACTTAAACTGAGTACGTACACCATGTATTGACAATGTTTACTTACACTGTGTACTTACACTGTGTACTTACACTGTGTACTTACACTGTGTACTTACAATGTGTACTTACACTGTGTACTTACAATGTGTACTTACACTGTGTACTTACACTGTGTACTTACACTGTGTACTTACACTGTGTACTTACAATGTGTACTTACAATGTGTACTTACACTGTGTACTTACACTGTGTACTTACACTGTGTACTTACACTGTGTACTTACAATGTGTACTTACAATGTTTACTTACACTGTGTACTTACACTGTGTACTTACACTGTGTACTTACACTGTGTACTTACATTTACTTAAACTGAGTACGTACACCATGTATTGACAATGTTTACTTACACTGTGTACTTACACTGTGTACTTACACTGTGTACTTACACTGTGTACTTACAATGTGTACTCACACTGTGTACTTACACTGTGTACTTACAATGTGTACTTACAATGTGTACTTACACTGTGTACTTACAATGTTTACTTACACTGTGTACTTACACTGTGTACTTACACTGTGTACTTACACTGTGTACTTACACTGTGTACTTACAATGTGTACTTACAATGTGTACTTACACTGTGTACTTACGTTTACTTACATTGTTTACTTAAGTTTACTTACACTGTATATTTACGTTTACTTACACTGTGTACTTACGCTTACTTACACTGTGTACTTACACTGTGTACTTACACTGTGTACTGACGTTTACTTACACTGTGTAATAACGTTTACTTACACTATGTACTTACGCTTACTTACACTGTGTACTTATGTTTACTTATATTGTGTACTAACGTTTACTTACACTGTGTACTTACGCTTACTTACACTGTGTACTTACACTGTGTACTTACACTGTGTACTTACACTGTGTACTTACACTGTGTACTTATGTTTACTTACACTGTGTACTTATGTTTACTTACACTGTGTGATTACGTTTACTTACAATGTGTACTTACGTTTACTTACACTGTGTACTTACGTTTACTTACACTGTGTACTTACATAATGTACTTACACACTGTACTTACTTACACACTGTACTTACATAATGTACTTACACACTGTACTTACACACTGTACTTACACTATGTATTACAGACTATCTAGAGCCTCTGGAGAAATCATGGGAATGTGTTGATATATAACTTCTCTGTAAGTTTGCATATTGACCTATAGTTGTTTCAGCTTCACAGCACACTAGTCTGACGTTTAATGTTGTTTGTGTTACAGAATGGATTGCCTACATGCTGTGATGTTTGGATCGTTGCTGATCATTGTATGTAAGTGCACTTTTCACAAGTGTGTAAAACAATATGTATATATATTGGCTATTCCTCTATTAATAATCTAGAAATTCCATTAACCCGTACCACGTGGTAAAACACTACATAACAGGCTCCAACGTGAGTTTGTATTATGACCTTTGTTATCTACGATCTATTTCCCGAACAGTGACCTTGGCTTAACACTGTTTTGAACGACTGTTTAATGTGGAACGAGATTCTGACGTGAAGCAGGTCTTCAGCGTTTACTACTGAGGTGAAACCAACGAGCAGGATATGGTGCTGACAAAACCGGTAATCAGGTAGACATGTATCTCATTTAACTTCTGTTTTCAGTTTCTGCAGTACATGGTGTCCCGTTGTGCGAGTGGGGCAAGTATGGACACAACTGTGACCGACTATGTTCAGATCACTGTAGACTTCATCCTGTCAGAAACCTTCGACACTGTCAGAAAGATACTGGGAAGTGTTCAGAAGGGTGTGTTCGTGGTCGGCATGGTGACCTCTGTGATCAACTTTGTAGCCCGAACTGCAACAAGGCCACGTGCAATCAACCCAACGGGGGATGTACCATCGGGTGTATGGAAGGATACGGTGGATATTTCTGTAACATAACAACAGGTTCACAGTCACAAATAACAGGTGCACAGATACAGTTCTATAAACAGATTCTGATAAGTTATGTGTAAGAGTTGAGTCGGAACATAGATACTTAGTATAGATGTTGAGACAATGTCATACAGCAGATTGACAGCTCCTAGATTCTTACGACTATTTGGATATGATATGTAAATGTACATCACGTTTTGGCAATCAAACATTATTTTTGGTTGGTTTTAAAACAATAGATAATTAGTGATTACGTGATGTCACACGTACCACGTGATAAAAACACTACACTACAGGCTCCAACGTGAGTTTGTATTATGACCTTTGCTATCTTTTAGTAGACATGTCTAAGATCTATTTCCCGAAAAGTGGAATTCGGCGACCAACTGTAAATGGTCATATGATCTAGAATGTGAGTGACCTTGGCTTAACACTGTTTTGAACGACTGTTTAATGTGGAACGAGATTCCGACGCCAAGCAGGTCTTTGGTGTTTACTACTGAGGTGAAACTCACGAGCAGGATATGGTGCTGACAAAACCGGCAGTCAAGTAGATATGGATCTCATTTAACTTCTGTTTTCAGTTTCTGCAGTACAGGGTGTCCCGTTGTGCGAGTGGGGCAAGTATGGACACAACTGTGACCGACTATGTTCAGATCACTGTAGACTTCATCCTGTCAGAAACCTTCGACACTGTCAGAAATATACTGGGAAGTGCTCAGAAGGGTGTGTTCGCGGTCGGCATGGTGACCAATGTGATCAACTTTGTAGCCCGAACTGCATCAACAACTCGTGCATTCAAATCAACGGAGGATGTACCCTCGGGTGTATGGAAGGATACAGTGGATATTTCTGTAACAAAACAACAGGTGTTCAGATACAGTCAACAGGTACATAGATACAGTTCTATAAACAGATTCTGATAAGTTATGTGTAGGGGCTGAGTCAGAACAAAGGTACTTTGTATAGATGATGAGAAGATGGCATACAGCCGATTGACAGCTCCTAGTTGCTTACGTCTATTTGGATATGATATGTAAATGTACATCACGTTTTGGCATAATCAAACATTATTTTGGGATGGTTTTATCATGACCTGTGACGTCAGCAACAATAGGGTTTTTTTTATCATCAGATCCTTGACTTTTATTTAATTTTCACAAAATTAACATTTGTCATCTGAAAGCTAGATTTCAATCAGAAAGAAAAGGGCATGATTCTGTCTGTGTTCAATTAGTACCATGAATATTTGAAAATAGTTTCTTGAATAAAGTGGAAGATTGGACTTGACATGACCAAAATTATGTCCGACGCAATTTTAGATTGTATTATATGTTCCTGTGAACAATTTACTTGCCTGTGCGTGTGTTTGTGACAGGTGCCACCAATGCGGTAAGGTAAGCTCACCTTTTCGCGATTATCTAGTGCCATCAATATTAGATTGTGATTGATGAACACCAGCTCATGATATAGTCGGAATCATACTGCTTGTCTTATCATTATGGAAATGTTTTAGTCTACAGAAATGCTGACAATCACGCTGATCACGGCCTCCCCCTTGACTTGTCTATATGGACGTTTGGTCTGATGATGTCTTGTAAGTTGTGTCTGTGTTGCAGTGACCACTACCCACAGACCATGTGACTGGGGCAGGTTGTGTGCATGGATATGTACTTACATGTATATACAGACGTTTTGTCTGATAGTGTTCTCACTAGCTGTGTCTGTGTTGCAGTGACCACTACCTACAGACCATGTGACTGGGGCAGATTTGGGGAAACATGCGATCAAGCCTGTCCTCCAGGCTGTGCCCTGGGTTCCGACAGAAACACCAACTACTGTCAGCCT